AGTGAGATACTATACCAAATACATCCATGAAAGAGAAACCCTTGCATTATAGACACTCCTTATGTTATTACCATGTCAACTCACACAGGTGAGCAGGGCTCTGATCCACAGTTTCAAGTAATACAGGAGACAGACACGGTGCTTGCTTTTGCAGCAAGTACAGTAAAAACTGAAACTATATAGAAAAGATGACCATGACCCATGTGCAAGGATGTCACAGAAAATTTGCGAAGTACCCTATATTTTAAAAAATTAGATAGACACAAGTGTGGAAGGTGGAAACAGCTGTGGTGGCCTATAATTGTAATTCTAGCATGGGGCAGGTTGAGGGAAGGACAGCCTGTAGTGGTTGATTATTGTGTCAATTGAGAAGTTTAGAAGCTTAACTCAACTGGCTCATCAACTCCACACCCTAGGGTGCAGAGGCCCACCCTAGGGTGGCCATCCCTTAAGGATACAAAAGGGAATTGGGAAGGAGGGAGCGTTCCATTTCCTTCAGAAGAGCTCCAGTCTTCTCTGTCAACTTGGATGTCCTCTCCCGGCTTCTAGTGCAGACTCTTCCACTTCTGCCTTGGATCCTTCAGCGTTCTCTCACAGACCCATCTGCCTGCTGATACGGACTTGCCTGGAGCACTGCAGTGAGCTCCAGACCTTGGCCCAAACCCTTCAGTCTCCAGTGTGCAGACGCCCACTGCGGACAGACGCCCACTGCACGCTTCCTCATCCAACTCTGTGGCTGACCGTGGTAAGCCAATCTTTATATTTTTCTATTTATTTGTTTATTGTATTTAGTACGAGGTCAACAGGGTCTCGCTACACAGATAGCACTCGTAGTGATTCTCCTGTTTCCAGTCTCCCAAGCACTGGGATTACAGGCCAGTGCCACCATGCCCAGTCTTAATCGCTTCCTCAGAATGGGGGACAGGGCAGAGCAGGGCCAGCAATGCAGGCAATGCATTCTGGGGATCAAACCGCCGTCCCAGCTATTTAGTCCACTGAGCTGTCTACCTGGCCTATATTTACATTTCATGTCACACTGGCATGAACATTTTATCGCAAATAGCTAGAACTCAACAGCCAGATGCTTGACTCTGACAACATTTGTCATCATAAACAACTTTAGCTGGAATTTAACAGCGTATACATTGTTTTGTGGTTTTCTTTTTCTTTTTTTTTTTCCTGGATTTTAAGAGTTCTGTAAGAGTCTACAGGGCCTACAGGATCTCACTACATAAACAGACTTGTAGTGATCCCTGTGTTCAGCCTCCCAAGAGCTGGGATTACAGGACCGTGCCACCAATGCAGTCCGATCATCCAGTCTGAATTGGTGTCTCAGAGAACAATGCGGGTGGAGCCATCACAGAAAAATAATTAGTATCACAGCTACAGAGATAGAAATCTTCACATATTTAGTTTTTACTCTCCAGGCAAATTGTAGATACCTTTAACAGGTTTTTACACAGAATAACTACACTCACAAAAATTAAGGACATCTTAAAAAGATGAGCTCTGATAAAGTGTTCCTTTTATTGTTGTTTTGTACTTAGGATGTTTTGTACTCAGGACAGTGTCTACAGATCACTATGTAGATCTGACTCATGATTCTCCTGTTTTCAGCCTCGAAATCCTTGGGATTATAGGTGTGCACCACCACGCCCACTCTCAATCTCCAATTGAGCGAGACCTGGGGGCGGGGCCAGCACTGCATGCTGGTGATCAAACCCAAGCCACTGAGCTTTGCCTAAGCAGGCGCTTCTCTCTGTGGAGCTCTCTGGTCTGTCCTGGACGGCAGTGTTAATGACTGCAAATAGACTTAATTATGCAGTATGGAAGTGTTTCTCACTTACACAATAACCAAATGCCCTTGAAGCAAAGCCAATACATATACATTAAGTTTGTATGTTAGGACCAGATTTAAAGACATGCCAAATTTTGATCATTTTTTGTGTCTGAATTCTAGATATATATTGTACAAAAGACAGTACCTGCAGTTAGTTTGTTTGTATTGAACTTTTGTAGTCTTAGCTCCTTAAGCTTTAAAGCTTAGACTCACAGCATATCTTGTGTTTCAGATGTATACGTACATATATTCTCAAATATATAAGTTCTCATAAACTAAGATAATAATTGCTTATTTCACCAAACATAAACTGATTATTGAAAATATTTAATAGGTTAACACTTTAATACTCTTTAACTCTTAAAGCGTACTTTTTTTTAAAAAGCCCACTTTTAGTAACCAAAGACTGAAAAGTATATAGCTTTTTCTTTTAATCTAGTTTGTAAGTTTAAGCAAGAGTGTTTTAAGAAATATATTAAGGAATATCTTAAGAATTCCATATTGTTTTAGCCATAGAAAACTTAACCTTTTAATTTAATTATAATTATTCCTTTATTTATCTGCATTTATTTGGTAGAGAGTCTCTATGCAGCTGGCCTGCCCTGCACTGGGATTACAGGTGTGCACTACCACACCCAGTTTTGGAACCGGGGATCAAAGTCATGTCCTTGCACTTGCCAGGCGTATCCTTAGGCCACCAAGCTGTCATCCCAGCCCATTAACTTCTTAATTATAGCTAAAATAATTCCTTTAAATATTCATTCTGGGGGCTCTGGAGGTAGCTGAGTCACATAAACCCCTGCTTGGCAAGCAGAAGGTCCTGAGTTTCATCCCCAGTACCCCATTATAGCAGCTAACAGGCTTTTGGGTTTTTTTTTAACTCATTCTTAGAACCCTCTGCACCATGAGAGCCAAGTGGAAGAAGAAGCGATTGCGCAGACTGAAGCGTAAAAGAAGGATGATGAGGCAGAGGTCCAAGTGAAATAGCTCGTACCCCCATGGAGGCCAAAGGAGCAGAAATAAGGAATGCTGGAGGCTGACAACGCTGGTGCAAGTTTTGGACTGCATGCT